GACAAACTAGTTTTTATAGACGGCGCAATACTTGAAAGCGGATGCCGACAATCGCTTAACACACGTGCAAATAATATACACATATAATATAGGTAAAAAAAGGTAATGATTTTAGGAAAGAAAAATATAACTATCCTGTAATAGAAATATTTGGACATTCAACATATTTCCCAGTCTTTCTACAAGACTCGAGTCTCTCAATTTTTCAGTTTTAGCCATTCAGTCTCTCTGTGAAAGACTCGAATCTCTGAATTAACAATTTTATCGTTCGAGTCTCTCATACAGAGACTGTAAGAGATCCATAAAAACACCTAGGCAATAACTGAGAGATTGTGAAAGACTGTGAGAGACGCTCTCAGAGGCGCTGAAAGACTGAAAATTTTAGTCTAGGAAAGTTACTTTTGGTTTCATTATATACAACTGAAAATTATAATTCAAAATTAAATGCATATAAAATTAGTACATTTTTGAATAATGAAAAATCTGTAATTGATGTTGAAACATTAAATTTCCCACATGAATTATCTTTTTTTGATTACATGGGCATTAAGTATGTACCATTTCTGAATCATCAGCAAATAGAGTTAAACTAATGATAAATTTAGTTTTGAAAACTTGGTTATTTATATGTATTTTTAGAGTATAAGATTTTTCAAGTATAACACGTGTTATTTTATGAATTTTATAATCTTCTAACACGTGGAATACTTTGAAGTGTGTTAAATACTATTACACGTATCGCTGTAGCACGTTTTCTTAAAATATGTGTGTTGCTTTTGCGGAGTTCGAAAAGTGTGTTATACATTCAACACGGATTTCTAAATATTACACGTGTTGAAGTAACATACGAACACGCTTATTTATAGCAATTTAACACACTCAGAACAAATTACACGTTCATGTGAGTTACTGTAACACGTGTCTGTATGTCGAATAACACACTTAGCATTTGCAGTGTAAGAATCTCCAGAGATCCACGGAAAGAAAAACGATCTAGATGTTAAGGGTTAACAACAATAACGAGTGCTTCATGTTTTTTTTGTTTTTGAATTGAATTAACACAATGACAAATGTATTGTCCCAAAGAATATAACAATTAGAAATTCTAATGAAAGGGAAATTCAAATGCAAAACAATATAGATGTATCTAAACATACGCATGTTCAAGAAAACAAAAAAAAATATTCTTTCAAAATTACCTTTACCATTGACCAGCGAATTTCGTCAAACTTTAAACATAAATTTCGAATCAGATCAACCTAACTTAACGGTGAGAATATTAAAAAAAAATTTAGTATAAAAATAAATAATTACACTACCCAAACTTGAAATTTAGAAACTAATTACGCCTAGGTAAAACCAGTATATACTGAAATCAAGTTGAATCGATTACATACCTATACAAAAATTGCTCATAGTACCTTAGTACCTATAAGTAGGATTGCCACCAGTCCGGTTTCCCACCGGCCTAGCAAGTTTTTCAT